TTTCTTTTTTTTTTTTTTTTTTAAATCTTATCTTATCAAAACCAAAAATACAATATATAATACTTTTTTCACCAATAAAAATACCTGGAAAATATATATGATTTGCAAACATTTATGTTTTTATTTTAAAACATCTTCATTACAACATTATGCGAAAAGAAAACTTCTACAACAGTAAAAATCGATCGTTCCAGCGAATACAAACAAAAGGTGGATCTGATCGATCGAGAAGGAGACGATAGTTTGGAGTATAACTTGAAAGCGACATGGTTCTTCAATCCATCTCGAAGCGAAGGATTGACCGGTGAGGAAGAACTGGTCGTTCCTCACGTTCTTATTCTGAGCATGATCAAACTCACCCTCGAGCAACAACCAGCCGCCATAGGGATTCTCAGTGAGTCTCTCGATCATTCCTTTTACCACTTCCGATTCGCATCAAACATATTTCCTTTATTTCGATTCAAAAGTGAAGGTTGGCACGGCTTAGAATACTTGAGAAATACTTGAGAACGAAGAAACAGGGTCAAGAGAAACGATTTTACTTATACCTAAGTAAACGATAAGTTACTCTCGCCTTGAACCGATGGATCAATTGATTCATGTAACGTCTTGTTTAACTATCGTACGTGTCTATTTCCGTTTTTCTTATACGTTTCTTCCAGGTGTTTTTCGTAAGAATCTTTACACGTGTATGAGCTTCAAAATTATTGGGTGTAGGAAATGTGCTTTTAGTTTCATAGTTTAATAACACGGTAGTAATAGAGCGAAAAGTTTTTCTTGATGAAACGAGTTACGTTGGTATTTTGATTTATAAATAATTTAGGATTTATCTTTAAAGAAATAATATTTTTTCCTGTAAATAATGTATTAATGATGCGTTGCTTTGGAGGTAATAAATTCAATTTATCTATGTATTTATTTTCCATAAAATTTTCATGAAAATTGATATCAATGGATAATGGAAAAGCATAAATCTTAAATCGAAAGATTTAATTTGACTTTTCTAGAATAAGATAAACACGATTATTAATTAATAATTAAAATTCATGTTTTTCGTAGATAAGGCTGTGGATAATATTTTCAAGAAACCTAGTTCTGTCTTCATAAGAGCGAAGGCAAGGGAAATACTTTTCGACGGTTTACCAGTTGATTGCACGGGAAAAGATTTCGCCACGAGCGCAATTTGCAGCGTTTTGAAAGAAAAGGACGACGCTTTAGTGGCCGATGGACGAGGGCGTTACTTGTTCTCACTTTTCGGCCCTGTACGTATATTTATTTTATGATCGTACATTCATATAAATTTAATCAATAGAATCTCTATTCCTACATAATTTTTAATCAAATCATTTAATTCGTAATCGAGCTGATTTCGAGAAAAATTATCTCCTTACTTTTTCTTATCATCGATACAGAGAGAATATATTCAATGAGATTTTTAAATCCTTGTTCAATATAATATTTTTCAGAAAAATGGCACCGTTCTTCCCGAACGTATACGAGTGTTGCGGGGTATAAAAAATTACAAGGACGTAGGAAAAGTAACTGAAGTTAATGGAAAAACGAAGTTGGATATTTGGGGGGAGGGTGATTGCAACGAATTCAATGGCACAGATTCAACGATCTTCGCGCCATTGCTCACGGAACAAGACGAGATTGTCTCATTTGCTCCTGACATTTGCAGAAGCATGGGGGCTCGTTTCGATTCATACACACAAGTCAAAGGTAGAGTATTATATTTCAATCATAATTTTTTCTTTCAATAATGACGAATATGTCATTTCTTCATTTTTGCGACATAACGTAGTTGTAAACTTATTTTAAAATAGATAAAGATTATTAATAAAATATTTAGAAAGTTCAAAGGTCTCTTTTCTTTCTTCTTTTTGCTTTCTATATCGATTTATATTTATAAATATTTATAATTTTTAATATTTATAATTTATAAATATTTTTTTTTCGAACAGGCATCAACACATACCATTACAAAGCTGATTTGGGCGATATGAGTTCACATCCGGAGGAGAAGTGTTTCTGTCCCTCGCCGGATTCTTGTTTAACGAAAAATCTCATGGATTTGACCAAGTGCGTAGGTGCTCCGCTTATAGCTTCCCTTCCACATTTACTTGGAGCGGAAGAAAAGTATCTAAAAATGGTTGATGGACTTCATCCGAACGAGGTGATTATTATTTTCGTTATTATTTTCAATTTAATAAATATTCATTCTGTATATTTTATTCACGTTACGTGAAGTATAAGTTTAAAAGGAAAATGTGATTTTTTTTTTTACAGGAAGAACACGGAATCGCCATGGACTTCGAACCAATGACAGCTACTCCTTTAAGCGCGCACAAGAGGCTACAATTTAATTTATATCTTCACAAAATTGAAAAGTTCAAATTAATGAAAAACTTCCCGGAATGTTTGTTCCCAGTATTCTGGGTCGAGGAAGGGATATTGCTCAGTGATGAATTCGTGAAAAAATTGAAGACCGTGTTCAAGACAATAAGTATAGTCGGGTAAGTAGCTTCT